AAAACAGCGCATAATCACAAGACTATACAGCAATCAATCTGTAAGTTACAGCTACTGACCCTCTATGAAAAACAAAGGTCAGAACATGTAGGCTCAGATCATGACACAGCTTCGTATTCTGTGCTTCAGTGTGGCTACACATAAAAACTTAAGAGATTGGTCTTCTGAGGTGCACATCCAGTGATGCCATTCAGAAACAAAGGGTTAAAAACTGAATGCATGGCTGGCCTGGGATCAGAACAAAGGCACAGCAATGTTTACTGCTAGGATGGTGACCTATGTAAACTGACCCGCTCTTATTTGATGGAAATGACTCATGACACCATTTCTATTACTTATCTTTGCTACAAGGAAATTCACAACAGCATCCAAATGTAGAAAATGAAAATTCAAGTCAGCTTCTCTGAAAGTCACTGATCTGTCATTTCAAAAGTAATCTGAAGTCTTCTGTCAATCAAATCTACTTGCAGAAGTCATTCTAAATGACATAATTCTTTTCAGTTTCTTCAAGGGAGAATAATGCTGGACTTACGAGCCAATAGCAAATATCAGACTGGGTGCTTTGCTTGTCTGTTTAATTGATAACAACATTCAGAAATATGCCATAGTATATTATAATCCAGAACTGATTTAAGGGTGGTTGTGATGGTTTCTGTGAGAAGTTAAGATCTAGAATCTCCGTCATATGAGACAGTGATAATTCTCTCATGTAACATGTACCAGAGAACCAGATTTAAGAGGAAATGATGAATGACAGGGTCCCTGTTTGATAATGGTAGTTGTTACCATAGATGTTTAATTCAATGGACAGTTTTTGATAATGAGTACCCAAGGGAGACGGTTCTCAGACTTCATTGTGAAAGAGACTCCTTGGGGCCCCAGAAAGACAGAGGGCTAGGCCATGTCCTCACAGTGTCCAATTCAGCACTTAGACAGAGCCCAAGGATGTGCCTTTATGGCCACTCCAGCTGATCCGTGCACTGTTGTGCAAGGATTGCACTTTGAGAACCCCTGCCTTTGGCCTCAGTAACTTGTACAGTTTTGGCAGAAGAGGACCACATTAGCAGCCTATCCAGTGAATAAGTGAGCATAATGCAATAGACAGAGAATTGCTGAGGTTTTTCTATAAAAACAATGTGAACAATCTATTGAGCAAATGCAGTTCATGGAACCAGAAGTCCTGCAATGCCTCCCTAAATGTACATAACTTAAAAGAAATGTCCTCAAAGATCAACAGATCTTTACTGAGCAATGTGTCTACCTGCTACAGTTAGCAAACAGAACAAATGAAGACAGAGCTCATTCCCATGACAGTCTTCCCAGCTTCCTTATGTGATCAAATAGTAACTTACAGATTGTTTGTGGGTATAAATGGTTAGAAACCAGAATGTGTGTAGCTGTACACATCTACTATTAGGAGTCACAATACACTACAAGCCCATGGCCATGCATCTCCTTAGCTTTCAGCACTAAACAGGGCAGGAACTCAATTCTACTAAAATAATGTTTTAATACGTTTTCCCTAGTGCTGGGAATCAAGCCCAGGGCCTTATACATACTAGGCAAGTATGTGTGCCACCAAGCTATATTCTCAACCTTGTACGTTTCTCACGTATATATCGTAAGAAACATTTCTAAATGGGTATTGATACAACACAGATCTTTTCACATTTAAGTAATGGAGAATTTAAAAAAAATTAGCAAATAAACTGCTGTATTATCCAAGAAATGGTGTAGAATGGGAAGAAACACGATAACATACTCACACAGGAAATCATCTGACTTATTCTGCAAAATATACCACCCTTCATCGGCCACTGCCACGATTGGCTGGACTCGATCATTGTGCTTGTAATGCCATCGTTCTGGAATTTCCTCCTTTTTGTAGACTGTTAGATTAGGATGGGCCCCGGCCAGTGCGTCATAGACTTCATCAAATTTACCTAAGGAGAAAGGGGAAGAGAGGTTCTCAGAACAAGACTCACATTCTACAGCCACCCATGATAGGAAAGAGACTCCCAGCTGATGAAAAGGGCCAGGAGGAGGAACACAAGGAAACGGAGCCATACATAGTGAAACTCCACACCTGTAAGACGAAAGAGTCTTGTGGGGGAGGATTGGAATGACTACTCTTCTTCACTAGCACATTCTCCTACAGAATAAAGGGCCTTTGAGAGAAGCAGTCATCTCTGCTCTCTAAAGACTTAAATATGCAGACAGATGCTCACACGGCCATCTGTGTTATAGACACTACCTAAATACCAAGCTTTTGTGAAACTCAAAGGAGAACACAGCTAGACTGGACACACAGCAGTCAGCCACTATGGGTGTAGAGACAGAATATCTGGAGAAGGGCATGGGAGGTAGAGGTCAGGGGTAGGGAAAGGATGAGCAGAGGTTCAAAGCAGCTTGAGAAATGGAAAGGCACTCAGTATATTGGGGGGACTGGAGAACTCCCCAGAACTTCAAATGTGCCACACCTAGCCACCATCTTCACCTTTTGTTAGTCAAGTCCATGTGTTCTTGGAGAATACCACAACACTACTCGAGTTGCCTTAGGGAATCTAATGGGTTGATGTAACCTAGGAGTTGCTAGCCATGTGTACAGGCACATGTGCATACTTCCACGTGGTGGCTACTTAATAGATTCTACTTAACTCCCCTGAGAGGACATAATTCCCACTGGTGAGGTAGCACAGCTTCTCAAAATCCAGTCTTTCCCTTGACACTTAAGTCCCTCTGAGGTGCTACAGTTTCATTCAGAAAGGCAGGCCTTGCATGTTCAGGTATGAATTTTGTGACCTCTTGAGGTTAAACATTTACCAATCTTTAAAATGTAGATGACACTGAGGTGACAGTTTGGGAAGGATTCCAGCAGACATTTACAAAGAATGCAAGGTGCTGTTAAAACTTGCTGACAAAAATGAAAATAAATTTGAGATTGACAGACTCGCTTTCTTCATAATCTCTACCGCTCCCCTATTAAAGGGGTCTTGGTAAAGGGTCTGTTGATGGTCACAGTCTCCCAAGAGATGACTGTAATTGTATTCAAAAGTCATACCCATTTCTCCCGAGAAGGGGAGTCAGAACTTTTATCATATTTTGTGAATCTAAAATGTCAGTATTTGGGGTAGGGGGATTATACTCCGAGAAAAGAGATCTTTGTTTTCAAAGTCTCAGGACTAACTCTCAGTACACTGTCGTGACACAGGCAAGGGTACTGAAAGGAAAGAAGTTGACACACTGAGCATGTGCAGTGCCAGGCTTGGATTGGCATGAGGTCAGACTTACCTTCTTTGGGCAGGATGGCAGCTACAGGCGAGTGGTCAATCAGGGTATAGTGGTCTTTATCCAGATAGCGGTCAAGTTCTATCACCCTTTGCTTGGAACACTGGGTCATCCCATGATCACTCGTGATGATTAGGTTTATGTTATTCCATAGCTTGGCCTTTTTCAGCATTTTTATCAGATACCCTAACTTGTGGTCAATGTCTGAAATGACAGGCCCCATGAGAGGACTGTCAGGTCCCACATCATGGCCCGTGTCATCAGGCTCTTCCCAGTAGAGAAGCCCGAGACTGATGGGGTCTTTGGCTGTAAACCATTCAATGATTTTGGCAACTCTGTCTTCAAAGGAGACAGACTCATTGTAAGGTAGGTAGTAGGTGGGGAAACTCTTGTGGATCTTTACATCCGCTCCTGGCCACATGGCTGCGCCACTAGCATGCCCTGCCCTCTGGTTTGTGATCCATATTGGTGTGGCTTCTTCCCAAAACTCAGAATCATAGATGTCCATGTGATCCAGGGAGAAAGATTTGTTCAGAATAGGATCAAACATGTCATTTGCAACAATGCCATGATTCTCTGCAAAGAGACCAGTGACCAAAGTGTAATGGTTAGGGTAGGTCTTTGTGATAAAAACATTAGTGACTTGCTTCACGTGAACACCGTATTTCATGATATAATGAAAATGAGGTGTTGGAACTTTATATATGTAATCCCAGCGGAATCCATCAAAGGAAACTACTAGAACCTTCTGCTGTTCTGGCTGGAGAGAAAATGCAGTCGGATGAGTTAGGGCAGCCAGTATGTAAGACACCATGAGAAACTTGGGAATCATTTTCACAGTCATTGATCAGCTCAGCATAAGGAAATCTATAAAATAAACATAGAGAAGTTAATCGTAACAGCTGGGGTTTGTACATTTTTTTCCAAACTGAGTGGCATCGTTAGTGAGCCCGTTTAGATCCTGAGCCACAGCCTGGAAAAGTTGTGGTACAGAGCTCCATTTGGCATAGGACACTAGGGCCAAAAAATCTTAAGTAACATAAAATATATTCCTCAAATGAATCATTTAAAGGGTTCCACAATGACATTTAAAAAGATGATTGGCATATGTGACTTTTCAGAGACACTTTAAGAATGATCTAGAATGCTTTAAAATTTTTATTACATTTTTATTTGGGGTGTGTGTGTGTGTATGCATTTGTGTTTATATACATGCAATCTATAGTGTGCCTGTGGAAATCAGAAAATAACTTCTAAGGGTTAGTTTTCTTCCACTATGTGGGCCCTTTGGAGTGAATTCAACTTGTTAGGCTTGTCTGCAAGCACCTGACCTGGTGAGCCATCTGAAATGCCCAACCTAGAATTCTGTCCCAAATCTTACATATAGTCAAGTGACTACAGGAATTTATTATACAAAGAAGAAATACAGAAACTTAGCAACAGGAAACACTATTAACATATGCGATAGTGTTACTTAAACACAAACACACACACACACACACACACACATTACTTTTTCATAGCCAATCCCTATGCTTGAATCTTCTGTCTCAAAAGATATTTCTATATAGAGGAAAGTAGGCAGCCATAATTTCTTTTTTGTTTATTTCTTTTGTTTTGTTTTTTCTCAGACAGGGTTTTTCTCTGAAGCGCTGACCGGCCTGGAACTCACAGAGATCCACCTGCCGCTGTCTCCCAAGTGCTGGGATTAAAGCCGTGCTCCACCACTGCCCAGCTAAACATGGTTTCCTGAATGAAATAAAATTTGTGGCTTACAAATATATTTATAAAATGTAATCTGTACTCCTTTGTTAACAATCAAATCTTAGGGTTCTGTGCCCTGCAGGAACAGATTCTAAACTGAGTATAAATGGAAGCATATGTCTCAAATTCGATTTCTACTTTGCCCAGGACTCAATCAGTCAGCAGTTAATCTTATTAATGAAGTGCATAAGACCGCATTTCCCAGGATTCAATTTCTTTGAGTCCATGTTTGTTTTTCTTTTACACTTGCACTTGTTTCTTAAAAGCCAGCGCAAGGATACAGCGTGGAAAAACGATCCTATGCAAAGCTGGCCAGTTCTCGTCGGGCTTGCACTAAGGAAGCATTGTGTGCTTTCCCTTTAATGAACCTAATTAATAACAAATAACTCTCATACACTAATAACTCTCACCACGGTTCCTGCAAGGAAATCTCTTACATTCAGCCTTTGGTGCCTTCCTAATTCAAACACGGTGAAGACATTCTCATGCCTTAGGAGAGGCCCTGCCCTGCCTTGCTATATTCTAGACGGAATAACCTGTATGCCATGCTGGCTTTGCTTGAAGAAGCCTGGGCTGTGTGCAAACGACACATAGAAGCTTAAGGTAAGAACTGGCTTTTGTTTTGTTTTAGTTGGTTTTTGGTTTTTCAAGACAGGGTTTCTCTGGATAGCCCTGGCTGTCCTGGAGCTCACTTTGTAGACCAAGCTGGCCTTGAGTTTATGGAGATCTGCCTCTGCCTCCAAGTGCTGGGATTAAACATCTGCACCACCACCGCCAGGCTAGAATTTGTCTTGTTTTTAACTGTAGTTTCACCTAAACTTGAAACTGTTTTAGATATTGGTCTCAAAGACAATGATTTAATACTGTATCTTGAATGCCACTCATTTTTGTTCCGTTCTGGAAGCAATAGTAATGAAGGCTGCAGTGGGGAGTTAATTGTATGCAGGGAACTGCAAGTCTACTGACTAACCTCTGTGACTGACTCCGGTTCCTTCCCCTTTCCTTTCCTCTTCTTTCCCCCCGTTTTTTCTCCCTTCTCACTAATGCAAGGAAAACTTATTATCAACAATATTTAACGCCACGAAAGAATCAATTGCACGGAATTCTGATTCTCGTCTATTTTAGGAAACTCAGTTAATTGCAGTAAATAGAAGAAAACTGTTTTCCAGGGCAAACTGAACTAAGAAGACATGAAGTGCTTAGTAAAGCTCAGCAACGTTCGTTAAAAAAAAATTACATGGGTGACAAGACGCGGGAGGGGGTGGGGATGAGGAAAAAAGGACAATCTCTTTTCTGTGCAGAAACCACAGGAAACCCTGAAAACCTCCAGATCTGAAAGCAAATTGCCCTGGCCTTCCCAGTCCTTCCTTGCCCCAGCCTTTCCCTCACCGCCAGGGCAATCAGCAGCACCAATCAAAGGGCAGAGGAGGGCAGGAAAGAGGGGTGGGTTTACATAAAGGCGTTGGAGGGAGTGGGTGGGTGCACCGCCTCTTCCCCATTGGGGTTACTAGGCCTCCCCGCCCCTCGGGCTGGTGACAGTCCCAGTGCGGGCCTCGGGAGGCAGGCCACTCATCCCCGGGGACTCACCGCGCTATGGTCAGTCTGTCCTAGAGCGTTTGGGGCAGGGAGGTGGTGACGGAAGCAAGGGGAGCCAGCGGATCGTAGGCTCACCTGCAGGCAGCCCCAGCGCAGAGCACCTGACCCGTCTCCGCCCGCCCCGTTACTGGAACGCCATTGGCTTCCGCAGTCTTGTGGTTCTGCCCGGGCAAAAAATCTGCTCCTTGGAGTAGCTGTGCCTCCTGTCAATCAGTGGAAGAGGGGGCGGGCGCTGCGTGGGGTTTGGAGGAGGGGGACGTGGTGGCCAGGCTCGGGGAAAGCTTGTCACTCAAAACTGTCCTACTAGGCGTGTTGTGTCAGTGATGCTGAGGAATCACAATGTGCTATCCCAGTGGTTGGTAATCTGAAACTCACGTTTGTTACAGCCACTTTTGTTCTCTCTTGTCCTGAGTTTTCTTCTCCCTTTATCATAAACTGGTGATGTCATCCATAGACTTTCATCGGAGGAGGGACACCGGAATAGCCAAGAATTGCCATGAGATGGAGTTTATTGTTTGAGACAGGGTCTCATTTAGTTCACACTGGCCTGGAACTCGGATGGTAAGCCAGGATGACCTCGGACCTAAGACCTTCTTGCCCCGACCTCCTAAATGCTGGGGATCACTGGCATGCATCACCATACCTGGTTTTATGAGGCTCAGGGGATTGAACCCAGGTTTTCCTGGATGCCAGTTGAGCACTCTTTCAAAGGAGCTATATCCCTCGCCCTCATTAATTCTTTTGTTTATGAATAGCTGGTGCCAAGTACTTTGTCTACAAAAGGCTTTGGGAATCGAGTCAGCTCTGTAGCCCAGTGTGTAACTTCCACGGGTTTGCAGTTTATGGCTCTGAGTTTGCCGTGCAGACTATCCAAGCAGTAGCACCCAAAAGCCCCAATTAAAGCAAGCCAGGCTCGGGATTGGATTCATTTACTCCGGGAAAGCAGAGCTGTCTGGATGGTTGCCGGGCTACAGACACGCAATTTCAGGAAGGCACCCACTCACATATCTGGTTTGTTAGTGATTTCGTTTCCTTTTTCTTTCTTTTCTGTAGCAAACTAATTTTTAAAATATAATTGATAATAGTTTAAGGTCTGAAGGGGTGTGGTCAGGGTCCTGATTTGTCTGTTTGAGTCAAATTATACACACCACATGTGATTGCAACGGCACCATGCCACTCTGACAGACTCTGTCTAGCTACCCAGTACCCTATCCTGATGCAATCTAATTAGATAGAATTCTAAGTCTGTCTGCAATAGGCAGTGCTATCTGCTTGATCGTCACAACTGAAGTCTCTGTTTAATCAGCTGGTAAGGGTGCAAACATCCACAGCAGTGACTTTGGCTGTCTGTCTGGAGCAAATACCCTTTGTTCCGTGGGCTGGAGCTGTGAAGTTTGTAACCATGTTCTGCTGATCTGTTAAATGAGTTGAGCTTTTTTGGTCTTATCCTTTGGTGTATTTCTAATGAAGAGACCGTGGCCACCTGCTAAGTTGGGCAGCAGCATCCCAAAGGCCATTTGGGCACTCTGCCATAGTGACTTTATAATTTTCAACACGTGGGATGGAGACTGAGAGGGAGGTTGTTTTTGTGTGCAGCCTGACCCAAGACCGTGAAGGTGTACAAGTTGTTCCAAAGCCCTAAGCCCTGACCTTTGAAACTGCTCGAAGTTGGAAGGAGGTGGTTCAATCTCCTAAATCCTTATCTCCCCAGCCCAATAAGACAATTCTGTGTTCCCTCAAAACAAAGGGCACCTTATGCTCTTCACAGAGCGGGGTGTGTGTGTGTGTGTGTGTGTGTGAGAGAGAGAGAGAGAGAGAGAGAGAGAGAGAGAGAGAGAGAGAGAGAGAGAGAGAGAGAGAGAGAGAATGGGCTTGTCCTTATGTGGGCCTATTATACTGCAGATTCCACTCAATCCACAAGCTGCCGCACTCCACAAACTTTTATAGAAGTCATGATGGCCTCCACTAGGTACACTTGCAAAACTGCACGTTATAGTCATTAACCACAGCTCAAAACACAGAAGATGACTGGGGGGGCGGGGCTCAGTGAGCTCAGGCCCCACTTCTACATCTCCACAGTAGAATGTCTAGTGACAGACTGTAACTTATGTTGCTAGTGGGTGTGGTCTTGCTCAAATAAGGAAAATGATTGTCAAGTGTCATGGATTGACTCCCTGCTTCCTTATCTGCACTCTGCCAGTTGTCTGTGTTTCTGTCCTGTCAGAGTAGCCATTCGGCAAGTTAACATCAGATTGAGCTATAAGGGTTCCTTTATTTCAGTTGGATTAGCTGGATAATAACAGAACTAGGAGTGTGTGTCTGAACAGAGGATCCACTTTTGTTTCAGGGGGTTGGGGTGCGGAGGTCCTACTACCTTTTAAGGACCCCAGAGAAATCTAACCGGAAGTTGAGTCTTAGATCATTCTCCTCATTGGGGGAATGTAAGAACATTGTGCTAACATTGGGATAATCAGTACTTTATGAAACAGCAAAAAAACCCCACAAAAACGTAGCTGTACCACAGAAGTCTTTTTTTTTTGAGCTAGAATTCATGATAAGAAGAATGAACAAATTATTTAACAAGTTTAAGATCATGGGACCAGAGAGATGACTTAGCAGGAGCTTGCTGCTAAGCCGGTTCCTAGCATCCATGGCTGTTGAGCAGCTCTGATGCCTGGCTTTCTGTCAACCTGACACAAGTCTTGGAAGAGGAAAACTCAATTAAGAAACACTCCTACTAGATTGGCCCAAAGACAAGCCACTGAGGCATCGCCCTAATTAACATGGATGTGTGAGGGTCCAGCTCACTGTGGGTGGTGTCCAGCTCACTGTGGGTGGTGCCCCAAGGGTTGGTGGCTCTGGGTGTTTTAAGAAGGCAGCCGAAGAAGCCTTGGGGAGCAAGCCAGGAAGCAGCATCCCTCCATGACTTCTTCTCCAGTTCCTGCCTTGAGTTACTGCCCTGACTTCCGTCAATGATGGACTTTGGTTTGGAAGTGTAAGCTGAAATAAACTCTTTCCTTCCCAAGTTGATTTGGTCATAGTATTTTATCACAGCAATAGAAACCTAAGACCTGTAATTCTAGCTTAAGGGGCTTCGATGCCCTCTTCTGGCCTTCGTGGGTTAGCACACAAATAAAAATAAAAGCAAATCTAAAAACACAAACAAAAATAAACCCAGCAACATTAGAGTTGCATTCCAGTCCACTGTGCCAAATAAACAAAACAAAACCCCTAAACGCTAAAAGAATCCAGCTTGGGGACCCCTCCTCAATTCGGGGTACCCCAACACTACTAGGGAGGAGGAGACAAACAAAACAGGATTAATTTCAATCTCTTTACCTGATCCCTCAAAATAGCTCAAGTCACACGAGTCTTTAGTCTCATGTGACTTAATTGTCTTAGATAGGGATCCCTAAAGAAATAGAACCAGTGATACGTAAGCTGATTAGATGATTATGGACATTAGCTCATATAATTACTGATTTTGGATCTCCAAGAGTCTCTAAGCTAGAGAATCAGAAAAGCAGCGGCCTAAATCAGTCCAAAGATGTAAGAAACACAGAAGCCAATTCCCTTCCCCAGTCCTAAGGCCTGAGAACCAGTGTGGGCATTGGGTACTGTTGTAAGTTTCAAAGTCTCAAGACTTGAACATCTGTAGGTTCAAAGTCCAATGGCAGGAGAAAATGCCTGTCTCAGCTCAGGAAGGCAGGTAGGTGAGAACTTTAGCCTTCTGCCTTTGTGTTCTAATTGGGCCTGGGCAGGTTGGGAGACACCCCACTAGTGAGGAAGAATTTAATCTACCGACCTCTCACCCAAACACCAGAGGGTTTCACCAGTTATTTGGGCACCCCTTAGCTTAGTCAAATGACACATAAAATTAACCATTGTATCGATAATGTCTGTTAGACTGGAGGTTTCAGGACAAAAAGGCTCTCACCCACCCCACCCCCACCCCCACCCCAGCCAGAAGTGGGCCCTTGCAGAAGTCTGCATACAGGACAAAGATT